TATACACAATTATTTATAATATAGAGAGTTAGAAACCTTTTATAAGAAGCTACTAAAATTATTCTTTAAAAACTTCTTGGTTGCTAATTTAACCGAAACATATTTTAGTACATACAGCAGCAGTTGTAATTTTAGATACTTAATAGTAACTATATATATCATGACGAGCATGACATATTACCCTTACTTTGTATAACAAAACAAAATCTTCGGAATCTCTACGAGAAGAGTGGTCTCCGGACAGTAATCATACTGTGTATATACATAACCCTAACATCACGCTATCTATTGATGGTATAAAATTTACCCCGCGTACAAAATAATAATGAACTCATGTCAAATAAAAACTATACATGTCGATTCAGTCGAAAAATATATTCGATATATTCATATATATATAAAAATATATCTTTATATAAAAATATATAAAGATCGTGCACTGAAACTGTTCAATATAATTGACAATTACAATAATTCAACACTCAGCAACCTAAAAATACAGCGAAATCTGATAAACACAGGCAGATACAGACACATCAGTTCCATAATATTATCTCCGTCTTCATCCCCGTCTTCAGATATTCTAAGGACTTAAAACAGTCCACAGATATAATAGAGTTAAGGTGATGAATCACCAACTCAGATATCTGCATACAGTTACATTTTGGAAGCCTTAGCTTAAAACCAAATATATTGTACCTATATTGTATATGAGAATTTAGGTAATGAAACTTCTGGTGATATGACAGGTATCGCTGATCACTGACTTCTGCATGGTAGCAACGAGGTATTGTGAGAGTCCAAAGGTGCTCACATTTGTACAGAGATGTTTCTCAATTACGCTTATTATTATTTAGCGCTTATTATTATTGGAATGGTCTTCATTTCCTTAAGGTTCCAGTTTCGTTTAGTTTCCACTAAATCCATTAAGAGCTTAAGGAGTCTACAGAAGTTTTCCACTGCTTTCTATTTTGTGCTATTGCTCTCAACTCGTTAAACGATTTGCCCGTCTACTGCCAAACTGTTCTTCTCCAGGTCATTGCTGGTCTGTCTCTGCGCCTAGTCTCCTGAGAGTTTCAAGTAACTGCGGTATGCGCGAAAGCAGCCATACTTATTTCTTCTTATTTTGGTTTTTACGTTTGTTTGGTGCGTTATTTTTCATAACTTTTCATTTAAATCGTTCTAGGCCACCATATGCCTAAAAATTTATAGTTACTGTCTTGGTTCTTCACATCGATGTGCGTCGTTAATAATTTTATGACGAAAAAACTAAGAATCAAAGAATCAAACAAAGAGATGTCCCTAAAGACCACAGATAAGGAATTTATCAAAGTATTTGTGATAATTATAATAATAATGACTTCTTCGAAACGAATTATAAACGAAGAATCAAACAATAATAAAGTTCCCAATAACCACATATAGAGAATTTATGAAAGTATTTGTAACAGAACTTACCCGATTAAAAATCAAATTTATCGATTTAAAAATTTTGTCACTATAATCATTTTATCTATTCGAAATCATATGTTTCTTTATATCATAGGACTTAAAATTAATTAATTTCATATAATTTTTTGAATATATGCATATACGTATAATCACCTAATTCAAAGTCTGCTAAAAAGAAAATACAAATAATAAACTAAAAGCTGTTAAAATAAAATACATATTTGCAATAAAACAATTAGTACATTTCTTTATAATTCTCATTAGGTTTGATTTTCAGTTTCTATTTAAATCATACATTTGATGTCACACAATTGATGTACAACTTTAATGAAAAAATTGTAATTTTGCATTCAGTATTGTATAAATTCTTTCTATTGCAGTGCATTATGTATTTTATATAATACAAGAAATTATGACTTTGTTATATATTGGGTAAATTTTATACCCAATACTACTACTCGATTAGACTGTTGTAGCTAAAAGTGAAATTAAGGGGGTGGGGGGAAAACATTTTTAAATACTCCACTCAATTCAGCTACAGCCTTTAACAACTGCATTGCATACCATGTAATCTATAATATTCAAAATTTGTTTTTTCCTTTATAATTCTCATTCAGTTTATTTTTCAATATCTATTTAAGTCCTACATTTGATGTCGACAGCATAAAAGTTTAATGAAAAATATAGACTACTTTTTTATGACAAAATACGAAATCGTGGTCTTGTTACGAAAGTTGTATTTTATATTATATAAGAAATTAATTATTTGTTGATTTATGAAATGGAACTACGTTTTCAATTATCATAAAATATGTTTCTCATATAGAAAAGATATTAAGGAAAAAAATTTCGACTTGTATATCAGAATATTGTGTACCAATTGTGAGTTGAACGTTCGACAGATTTCAGATAGACCGCCTATGGGTGCTTAGTAGTGTCATTTGGGTTCTTGTTATAATTTGTTTTAACTTTTAATAATATAGTCGAAGGTTTCCTGGCCAAGAGTTATGTCATTTATTTATAATAACTGACTAGGAGTTAGTTATTTCGATATTTTATAACTAATTGTCATATATTTATTTAAAATATTTTTCTTCCTTATATTAAACTTTAAATAAATTAAACGACTTTGTTGTCCTTTAAAATTTCATGAGAGTTCTTACTTTGTATTAATTTATGACAGTTTGTAACAAATTTTACCGGACCTGTAGTCCAACTCTTAACTGAAGTTGGGTGTTGTTTGATAGGTAGGTATGCATACGATTAAATTTGGTGTCTTCGGCATGGTTTCCACTTGAAAATTTTTTCCTGTACCAAAATTGGTTTAAAAAGGTACCATTTCTGTAAAAAAAGGTCCAACATTTTTTTGGACCTTTTTGTTTTTTCGTTCTGTGTTTTTCATAGTGTTATAAATGAACAAAATATAAAATAGTGCAAAGTTGCATTTATAAAAAAAATTAATTGGAAATATCCACAATAAAGTTGGGTCGTCAAAAATGTACCATTTTTGGAATATGAGTACCAAACGAAAAAAAAGTACCAATTTTGGTACTAAAGTACCATAAGTGGCAACCGTGGTCTTCGGTAGAGGTTTATGGTCATGGATAGAACAATTGAATATATCGCTTTTTGACTCTCTTGAAATAATATAAACAGTTATGTTTCTGGGAAATTTGTTTTTTTTTTTGAAAATTTCATAAAGCCGATTATGGATGATATAAAAAGAATGTTTATTAGATGTGATTTGAAGATGGAATAAGTCACAAGTATAGTTGATTCAATAAGAATGTTTTATTATAGTAGAAATGGTTTGAAGAGGCGTTGAGTCCCTACTTGCTATCACTAGTGCTGGGCCTATGTGTGCATAAGTACTTTGATGGTTGATTCTGCCATAATACTAATAATAAACAAAGAATTATACAACAATATAATTTTCGACACCATTTAAGAGGTAGATAGCTCTATTGTCTACCATATATGTTTGTTTATTTAGAGAGACAACTTTACGATTTTCTGTACCGGTTAATTTTTTAATTCGCTTTTAGTATTTAAGCATGTTATTTTCTATTATTATTTATTTATAATAATTTTATTTTATATTATTTTAAAATATATACCCTTCAGTTTTGTAAGTTATTCATTTTGAACAAAAACAGTTGATATTTCCTAACTTTCGTTTCACTTTCCTTGCGCTGATTTTCAACGCCAAATAAAATTCATACGAAATTCGCCTCTTTTGGGTCTTGACTTGAATCATTACTTCTTTAAAAATTTTTGGCATTTCTTTTGTATACTTTTTTTTGTTTTTTTTCCCTATTTTTTGGATACTAAAAATCCAGTTTTAGCGGTATGTAAGGTCGTGCTGAGCCAAACACCAAAAAACGTAAAGTAAAATATGTAAAAGATGTATGTAAGATACACGTTAATGAAAAGATAAAAATGAAAATTATCTGAATAAACCTAAGACAAATGTAAAAAATAAAGAAATAAAATAAATTATTGATATGAGGAAGTGAGTGTATCTCGAAGCAAAGCATCACATCACATAGTATCGCATCGGATCGGATCACAGTACAAAATATCACATTGCATGACTACAAGCGGACAGTCTGTGAGTCTTGGCTAAGTCGGCATTCGGCATTAGTGACGTTGTGCATATGGTTTTTGAACGTGCGCCAATCAAGCCATGGGCGAATATCTAAAAAGACAGAAGACAGTGCAAGCTTAAGATTGCATAGAGATGAGAGGAGAGCAGAGAAGATAAAATAAAAATTCACTAAGTAAAATTGAAAACTAAAATGCTTTCATTTTCATTTGAAATCTTATGCTCACTCTTATCTCTAGTAGCCACACTACTCTGAACAGCGCATTGGAGCGCAACTCAGCTGAAGAGTATGAGTCTGGCTTACTGTCTCCAGAGCTGGGCTTACTGGCTGGCTGCATATACATATGTATGCTTGACTATTAGCAAAACTCGTATTGTGAAGAATTATGATGTTCACTGTCTTGTATCTTGTGTCTTGGGAGTTGTATTTTTTAATTATATTTTATTTGTCGTATTTACCGCTATTATTTGCGTTTATTTGTTTGTCTTTGACAAGAAAATGTAAATTTTGCAAAGTTTTTTTTTTTTTTAATAATACGTTGGTCAATTTTAGTTAAAAACATTAAACACGGCCAGTTGTCAAATATTTTCTTATACGAAATTTTGGGTGTAGGTGGTGACTATCTGGCTGCAGAGAGTCGTGTAGGTGAAACTTAAGTTTAATGCAAAAATCCAAAAAAAAAACTTTTTTAGTATAATATTATCTTTTTGTATAGTGTTTTCGGAAAAAGTGAAAATCCCAAAATGACCTTTTACAGACGCGTATCTTTAAGTTTGACACTTGGCGTTGGAATCGAGGTGTGTTATTTAATGCTATGGTATAACTAAATTATCTTCTACGAAAACAAGCATTAACACTTTTTCATATAATTTTTGACAATTTCATTAAATTATTTTTATTTTATTTTAAAATAATTAATTTTACCTTTTCTTTTTTTTTCAGGTAAGGAAATTTGTCATGTCGTAAGTCATTATTAACCGACTGCATTAATTCGATTTTTACATGAATTTCACTTGGTAAGCCTTAAAATTCAATTTATTTTTAGTTGATCTCAGTGATTTGTAAATTTGAATGTTAGTTTTCTGTTACAAATTATGTGACATTTAAAGACGTGTCATTAATTTATCGAATTTGGCGAATCGTAGGAATAAATTAGACACTATAAAATTGCAAATTTGTGCTGATTTTGAGTGAAAAATTAATTTAAATATGATTTATAGCGTCTGTTTGGACAGATTTGTATTAAAATTAATAGATTTAAATATTTAGTAAATAAAAATAAACAAATCTTTGACATTGTAATAAATTGTAATGTAAAGAGGAGTTTCAAATAAAAAATATATGTGAAATACAGTGTCAGTTAATAATTACAGTTTTTGTAAATGAAAATCAACTAACTTAAAAGTCTTATTAAATGAAAAAAATTACTACAGTAATTTAGTTAACTAAATCATTATTTTAATCGCCCACATATCAGGCAGTATATAGATACTGCCAAATACCAATAATCATTTATTCAAAAGGTATTCTATTTTAATTATCTGTGTTGCTCACTTTTTTAATCTACTACAAATACTTTTTCTACAAATACTTTATAACGCACAAGACTACAACGTTGTTGCTGCAAATTTGCTTTTGTTTTGTGCGTATATGTCGTATGTACGATATATGTATGCAGTGTTTGTTTTCTCGACGCAATCGTCCATTAAACTTGATTTAAAAGTGCAAAACTGACGTAAAGAAGAAATTGTCATAGAATAAAATAAAATAAAATAAAAATAATAAAAATAAAATAAAAATAATAAAAAGATAAAAAAAAATAAAATAATATATAATAACAAAGAAAGAGAACAAAACTAAATAAAATAACATAAAACACAAAAAAAAAATAAAAGAAAAGTAATAATAGGAAAAATAAAAAGAATGAATTAACATAAAATAATAATAAAAAAAGAAATTTGAAAAAAAATGACATGTAATAATAAAGAATAAAATAAAAACAAAATATATAATAAAATGAATAAAATTAAAATAAAAAAAATTAAAAAAAAATAATTAAATAAAAAATAAAATAAAAAAAAATAAAATAAAAAAAAATAAAATAAAAAAAAAATAAAATAAAAAAAAAATGAACTAAAATAAAATAATATATGATAAAGTAAAATAAAATAAAACAAAAAAAAATGTATAATAACAAAAAAATAAAATAAAACAAAATAAAATCAAAACAAATAACGTAAATTAAATAATGTAAAATATATCCATATCTATTGAGATTGATATCAAAAAATGGATGTATATGTATACGCCTGAATATGTATATACGCCTGAATATGTATATCTATGTATACATACGTATATATGTGCTTATACATATATATAGATTTTTGGATATCTTGATCTGTAGTTACATTTTATAAAGAACGGTGACGGAACATCGGCTCAGTTTGTATTAGGTTTGTACATATATAGTTATATAAAATAATATACATAGTACATACTATATAAATACTAATATGAAAGCTTAAAATAATCATCTATTTCTCATTTGTCTTTTTGTTCTTTTGATAAACCTTCTATATCCTTTTTATTTTTATTGTATTAAAGAAATAATAATATAAGCTTTAGAATATAATGTTTTTTAAATTAGGTAAATGGAGTTCAAGTTTTTATCTTTTGAAATCAATTAAATGTGCAAAAATATGATGTACGAATTATTGCAAACACAAATGATCAGCAAAAAATATCTACAAGCTAAATTTCACTCAATAAATTCAAATAAGCACTCAAAAAGCTTTGTGCTATTATTGCGATTTATGCTCAATGCTGGCTCAATTATTACTGTGGCATTTACAGCAAAACATAAGTAAAAGCAAAAAGGAAAAATAATGCTAACAGATAAACCTAAAAACGCGCTTCCGCATACAGAGCAGCCACAAGAGTTTAACAAATAAAAAAAATACAATAACACGAGTAACTATGAGCGATCGTATAAGCCGCACTCCAAGTTCCCACATAAAATGCAAAATATGAGAAAATTGGTAATAAAACAAAAAAAAAATGTTTACAAAATAAAAGTAAAAGTTGGAAACAGATGATATCAACAATAACAACAGCAACAGCAGTTACAACAGCCAAAGCAAAGATTTTATGTGCGGTGTGTAAAGCGTTTTGTGCTCTTGCAGGCAGGCAGGCAGTCAGATTTTGCGGATAACAACAGTGATAGCAACAGCTACAGCAATAGCAACAGCAGCAATAGCAGTAACAGTAACAGCTTTAACTGAGTTGGAAATGGCAAGTCGCTCATATTTTGAGTTTTGCGAGCTTTTTTGTGTGTCTGTCTGTCTGCACTTTTGCACGTATGAGGAGATAGTTTTGAATTAACTTTTTTTTTTGTGTATTGTTTGGGATGTTTATTACACAAAGTTGTAGTGAAAGAAGAAATGTACAATGTGAGCGAGCACTGAAAATGTAAACAGATAGCAAATACAAAAGTAAAAAAAAAACCAAATAAATAAAATAAAGTAAAACAATAATAAAAAAAAACTGTTTTAAGTTGGGATTTATGAAACTCGCGCTACAAGCATTTTTGAAAATTTTTTCGGCACTCACTCTTAAAACGTATTCCGGCGGCACCGGTGCAGTTGCGGAACTACTTTATTTACTTTAGCGTTAAAATAAAAAAATGCAAATTAAATAAATTAATTGTAATTAAATTGTATGCATAATATCAACAGCGCACTTATTGAGTATTGTGTTAACATTTTGTCGTTCAGTAAAATTGAAATTATTTTGACATTTAAACTCAAATTATTGTATAAAGAAACGATACCAACTGTACTATTAAGTAAATGAAATTAATTATTATGCACTATTCCATTAGTTCAGCATTATTTCAGTATTTTTTTAATGTACTCATATGGTATACGCTAAATCCTTGTCGGACTTTCTACGATTAAATTTAGTTTATAAGTTTTAAATTGTGTCAATAAAAAAAAAATACCTGCAAAAAATATGTGAAATAACAACAGAATTATAATATATACTAAGATCTCACAAAAATCGTATTCAAATTTAATCATTAAATGATATAAAGTGATAAAAGTGTTAGTGAAGTCTACTAATTTATACTGCTAAGTTGGAGACATATGACAAAATAAAATAAATTAATATATTAAAAACAAAAAAAAAGTATAAAAAACTCGATTATTTGTGGAGTAAGGCAAAAAAAAATAATGAATAAATAAATAAAAAAAAACTATTGCAAACTAGACAGCTTAAATATTTTTGGTACAAAAAAAAATTTTTTTTTCTAAACTGCTGTGTAAATAGCAACAGAATAATACTAAAGGAGCAATAAGTCACAGATTAGCATATATTAGAAAAAAAAAACATAAAACTAAAAAATTTATTTTTAAAATATTTAAAAAAAATTTTAAATAATATAAGAAAGTGTGAAAAAAATTTTTAAAAACACAAAAATAAATATGTTCTATCTCTGGAATATTTCACAACCAAACAAAAAAATATTTTTTCTTTACTAAAAACAAAAAATAAATGTCATTGTCTGCCATTGAAAAATACGAAGCTCGCTCGATTAAGCTACTTTACCTTTAACGCGTACTCCACACTAATCAAGTAACTAAATTGTTTGACAGCAACAATTGTGTACAGTAAACACAACGTGTGCGAATTTTTGCAAAAAAAAAATATATATATAACAAAACAATAAAAAAGTCAAACTAAATAGAATAAGCAAAATAAAAAAAATACAATAAAAACACGAGCTACAAATTCAAAACGTTTTTTTTTCTGATACCAAAAAAAATAAAAAACAAAATACAAATTTAATAAACATAAAATAAACAAATTAAAGCAATAATACACGTTCTCCGCAATCAAAGTGTTCCCTCAAAACAAGCTGTACGAGCAGCCAGAGTACAACTACAACAACTACAACAACTACAACTACAAAGCACACTATAAAATAGAACTGTGAACTGTGATAAATTAATGGAATACTTAAGCCAAAAGCGCAGCTCTTGTTATTGTTGTTGTTGTTGTTGATTAGAGAAATACTCACAAAGCGCGCGTGTGATAAAAGCTTTTTTGTTATTTAATTGGACTGACTCTTCGCTTGTGTGCTTGCTGTATTGGCTGCAGCAAAACGTATAATTCATAAATACAGAACATTCTTTGCATATAAGACAGTAGCAGCAACAACAACAACCACAGCAAGAACAATAAAAAGAACAACAAACACAAAAAGTGACAAAAGTGTGCGAAAACAAAAAAGAAAAAATAAATTACGTGCGGGAGTTAAAGTCAAACCAAGCATAAAACCAACAACAACAATTAAAATAAGAGCAGCACTGATTCATCACTTACACACGTCGTCAAGTTATATTTTTATTTGGATTCTTTGAAAAAAAAAAATAACAAAAATAACAACAATAACAACAACGATTGTACTATCAAAATTGTTTGTTATTGAATTTTATGAATGAATGCATGAAACTGCACATATTTTGGTTCAATGAGAATGGATTATCAACTGCCACCGCCGCAGGCGATACAAATCGGCAATAACAATACACATGTGAGTTTACAAACTCAACAGCAACAGCAACAACAACAACAGCAGCAGCAACAACAACAAGCTGTACACTTACAAATTTTGCAAAATGTGCAACAACAGCATCAACAACAACAACAGCAGCAGCAACAACAGCAACAGAATACCCAACAACAACTACTCGCTAATATGCAAACAGCGAGTAATAATACACCTTTACCGCCTTTAAGCAGTTTGCCACTACAAGTTGTACATAATTTACCACATTTGCTAAGCGGTAATGTTGGTAGCATAACAAATACTGCCAGCAATGCACTTAACAATAGCAATTTGTTAGGTCTAACAACGAGTAATAACAATAATAGCAATAATGCAAATACTAACAGCCTCAATGCAACCATCAACAATCTCAGTACACACAACACACTCCGCAATACAATACAAAATGTTGCTAACAGCCAACTACAGCAAACAATCAATAATCTCGGTAATAATTTAGGTAGTTTGCCTCCAAGCAGTCAACTGTTGCATCATCATCTGCAACATTTAGCCAATGTTAATAATGCAGCTGCAGCTGTTGTTGCTGTTGCTGCTAATAACATTACCAACAACATAAATGCTAGCAATCTCAACAATAATAACAATCTAACGCTATCTGGTATTACTAGCAACAACAACAATAATGCAAATATTGTTAGTGCTAACAATAATAACAACAACAACAATCCTGCAACACCAAATCAAAATCTAACGCACAGCAACAACGGCAACGAAACTCAGAACAATAATCTTGTTAATAATGTTGTGATAAATGGTTTAATTGTTAACAATAGCAATAGCAGCAACAGCAATGGGAATAATGCGAACAGCAATAATAGTAACAACAACAACAATAACAATAGTATCAATATCGATGAGAATAATCGTTGGACACAATTTCAAGTACAACAGCTGTGGAAACAACATGCATCCTATTTAAATGGTAATGTAAATTAAATTAACATAGAAAAACATAGAAAAAGATTTTTTTAAAATATAGAGAAACATAGAAAATAATAGTATATATCTTATATACTTGTATGTACTTTGTATTCAAATTGGAGGTACTGGGCATGTGAATAAGCTTTATATAAGGGAAAATGTATTTGTTGGTTTGTGACATTTAAGAAGACAAACGAATAAAATTAAATATATAATATAATAATAATTAAAGTACAATATATATTTAAAAATTTTTATTTTAAATAAGTTTAGTTTTATTATGGATAAGTTTTCATATATATAAATATAATTTATTGTTTTAATGACCAAAATTTTCATTTGTTATAACATATAATATTTATATTGGTCAATTATTCAAATAATACACAAAGATAAAATAAATAATACAAAATATAATAAAGATAAAGTAAAATAAAAAAATAATTAAATAAAAAATAAAATAATAAAAAATGAAATATATTAAACTAAACAAAACGTAAAATAAGATAATATAATAAAACAAAAGTTTAATAAAAATAAAGTAAAATAAAAAGATGAATTAAAAATATCATAAAATAATAAATTTAATTAATAATTAATATATAATGGTATTATTTTTTTTTACTATTTATTAAAACATAATAAAGATAGAGTAAAATAAAAAAATTAATAATTAAAAATTAAAAATAAAATAAAATAATAAAAAATAAAATTAAATGACAAAAATAAAATAAAATAATAATTAATAAAATAAAATAAAAAATACGTACAATAAGAAAATATATATAAAAAATATTTTAAAAAAATAAAGTTAAATAAATAAAAAATAAACAAAGTAACATAACAAAAAATTTAGTTATTAAAAACTGAAATAAAATAATTTGAAATAAAATAAATAATAATGAAATAATAATAAAATAATAAAAACATAATAATAAAAAAATAAAAAAAAGTAAATTACAAAAAATAAAATAAAACAAAAACCAAAAAAGCGACATCTAACTGCACAGAAATTAAATAATTTTGCCAAAAATTTTTGTTGGAAACGTCTTTATAACAAGTGATAATTTATTTTACTTTAATGTATTGATTGTAATTAAAATTGATTAAATTATAATTAAGATTAAAGATAAAACTTAAACACTTGTTAAAAAATTAAATGCTATTGAAGGTTTTCACAATGCGGAAAACTACGAATTACAAATTTTTCCCAAGTCAAGTTTTTTATGTACGCATTTCAATGTCTTCCAGTAAAACATAAGTACTGACCCTGACAAAATGTCATAGAACAAATATATCGATTTATAGAGAATAGAATTTCGAATAGTGTCAAAACTTGTAATATACAAGAGTGCATAAGTCAAATAAGACGGAAAGACTTGGGTAGAGAATGAACTGAAAGTGCAACGAAAGCGTGTTTTGAAAAGAGGAATGAGGAATAAGGAAAAGTGTGTTATTTCTGCTTCGGTCTGTTAGTTGGGTAAAGAGGTATTAGGTTCTTGGTCTATTAAATGGAATTAAGGGAAATTTAGAATAATTTTGTTAACAAATTTAAAGTTAATTTCATTACCATAAAAATTAATTTTAAATTAAGTGTATTTATTTCTTTGGTTGAATTGTACAAGTTTTTCGGATATTGTATATTATGCGTCTTAAGGAGATTTTTGAAAAAAAAATACACAAAAATTGCATTTAAATTAATTTTCGCAGTCGTATATTTTCTACTATTTAAAGCTAAACTACTATATAGCTGTTTCTAGTATACTCAATTATCTACCCTTAGCGGTCTTCGAAAGCAACCTTAAATAATCCACTTGATGAATGTTATAGGTTCACAGGCTTCCTTATTATTATCCCTTCTATTTATAAACCTTGCTAAACTACTATATAGCTGTTTCTAGTATACTCAAATATCTACCCTTAGCGGTCTTCGAAAGCAACCTTAAATAATCCACTTGATGAATGTTATAGGTTCACAGGCTTCCTTATTATTATCCCTTCTATTTATAAACCTTGCTAAACTACTATATAGCTGTTTCTAGTATACTCAAATATCTACCCTTAGCGGTCTTCGAAAGCAACCTTAAATAATCCACTTGATGAATGTTATAGGTTCACAGGCTTCCTTATTATTATCCCTTCTATTTATAAACCTTGCATGGTTATTTATACTGTTGCATGGTTATTTAATTCATCATCAAATATTAAAGATTTTTTAAAGATTTGCTTGTTTATTAATATTGTTTATTGTTTATTAATTGTTTATTAATAGTTGTCATTAAAGTTTTTCACTATTAACCCATTTCTGCACTACGAGTATAAAATTTATGTTCATAATATAAATTTTTATTTAAATATTATAAGAAATTCTAACTACAAAAAACTAGGTCTTAAGATGCTTTGGTTGTCTTATGTCAAATTTTTTCGGTTAATATTCAAGAAAGAAAGAAATAATAAGAAGAGGATTAATTTATGAATTTGTCAACTGAACAGCAAACATTTTACTTCCAAAGCTACTGCCGGTTGTGGCTTAGGTTTTCAATAGTCCTTGTTTTCATTATCTATATCTGACATACCCAAAAAATTTTTTTGTGTGTTTTGTTGTCTTCTGAAATATTTGTTTACTTAAGCTGCCTGCAACACATTTACTTTTGCTTTCTTCTTTTCGAGATAAAGTTGAAGGGACAACAATGTGGGTTTCTCCAAAAAATTCAACTTTCGATTTTCATGTCAAGACTTTTTACACTCTTGCTTGTTTTATTTAATATGATTGTTTATCTTGCCTCCATTACCCGTTGCCCGTTGTCCATTGCCAGTGGGTTTTGTTTTTGCTCATATGCTTTATTAAAAACTTTTCATTTGACATTTTTGTATCTTTTATTGCAACAAAATTTACTTCAATATTTTTTTTACAAGCGCTGACTCTTGTACTCTTGACCAACCTACTTACCGACCGAACTACCTTCAGTCGTATTTTAATCATTGTCACTGCCATTGGCACAAACTACCTGCAGCCGCCTAACTGACCATAAAACCCTTCGCACGCATTATTTCATCAACGATTTTTTCCGTAGTTGCCAGATATTTTGCTGTGCGTTTCGTTGGCTTTGCTACTTCCCTGAAAACGTTCGTTCGTTCGTTCGTTTTTACTTTCATTGAGCAGCGACGCGTTACTTGTTGCTGCTTCTGCTTTGGCTCTGGCTCTAGCTGTGACTGTGGCTGTCACTGTGACTGCGACTGCTGCTGCTGCTGCTGCTACACAAGCTTAGCAACATCCAAAAAATAAACTTTCACTTTTTCGGCAGTTTTTTATAATTTTTTTATATTTTTTGTAAGTTTCAGTTTTTTTTTTTTTTGTAATATACAAAATATACAATATTTTAATTTATACCTTAAAAATCATTCATTCGAAAGTAAAATTTTGTGTTATGGGTCGCACATAAAACCGATTAAAATTAAGGTTTATTATTAACATTTTTTTCTTATGAATTTATAAATATTAGCAATAATTTTATTTTTATTTTTATGTGTTTTAAAGTGCACAAAATTATTAATGAATTTTTTTTTTTTGGTTTTAAAATGTTATTTATTTAACAAATATTTGAATTAGAAATTATATTTCGTGAAAGCAATTTGGGAAGTATTTTTAAGATACTAACAATTAGTAGATATCTATGAACAAGATTAAGCAACTCTCTACCGGCAGGAAGTGAGTCAACTTACTGGTTAAGACAAATTAATTTAAGGTTTTATGCCTTCCTTAATACTGTTAAAACCCTGTTTTCATATTTTTTTGCTATAGTAATAAATAAGATAACATAATTACTATTTTCTACTTATAGTAAATAATAGTATACATACTATATTATTACATTAGTATATAATAATATTATAATAATAGTGTATATATTTATATAGTAAAATAATAATTATTTTATATAAGCTCTGTTTTCATATTTTTATTTATATAAAATTATAGTATTTTTAGAAAAATATAATTATACCATAGTAACATAATAGTATGTTTATATATATAATGAACTAATGAATATAATGAATTAAGTATTTAAGTGTAAGATGCTATATATTAAAATCTATTATTTTTAATAACTTAAGTACCCTAATTAAAATTTAATAAATCAGAAAATTATATTATACACTATATACATTTCGAAAACACATATTTTTATTAGTAATATGCTATAGCACATATTATTATTATTCTCTAAAGATTTATAATTGCTTGAGATTATCTCTGATATGACAGATTATAATCTCCGTTTACTTCTAGCGTTATTACTACAAATTATATGTATTATCATACATTAATTTATTAATAACATCTAATCACATATAGTAATTAATTTTATAAAAACACTCATAAACGAATTTAAAATTCTAATAATATAGTATAATGTTCAAGTAAGGTGACTATAATCCAATTCGAATATTTATTAAAAGTCCCACATTTTTGAAAAATTTTGAACTGACTCCAAAGTTTAGTCTCTACTGGCTGGACTTTAGTTTCAGTTTTACATAAACCCTTACTTTTTCAATATTACTTATAGTTTTATTTTCGCTGCGAAAATTAAAAAATTAATCTTATTATTGTAATATTACTATATTAGTAATATTAATAATATTAGTAATAAAAATAATATTAGTAATAATATTAGTAGTAAAGTCAATTGTATCAAATTTGTCAAAATCTGGATAGTTTAGATACAAATATAAAGAGGATCAGTACTGGCCACACTTCTACTCTTACACAATATTGTCATACCTAGAAAAAAAATTATTCTCAGATATAACTCGAAAATGCTTCGTATTTTCTTTCGAACAATTTTGAAAAAAAAAATCTTTTTAAAGTCTAGCCAGTGATGATGTCTAATATAACCCAGGAATCCATGATTCGCTATGCTTTCACAAGATTTACATCACTTTCACCTTCTCGTCAACACATGCTAATTTATATTTGTAAACAAAATTCGAAAATAGTTCGTATTAATATTCGAACATTTAAATCCTGTCATATTATTTCGGAACAATAATTTTTGTGTGATATTGAAAAATTAGGAATATATGCACAAAATCTGCCAAAGTCAAGATAGTGGTGGTGACGTTGGGTGGGTTATTTTAAAGTTTTCAAGCAGTACGATGTTTAAGAAACT